CCTCCGGGAGCCCAACACCGTTCCCGCGCGGCCACGATGATCCCTCCGAGCGGCCCCCGCGAGGACGGCGTGGACGGGCTGCCCAAGGAGGCGGCGGGCGCCGGCCAGCCGCCCTCTCCTGCATCCACCAGCAGCCAGGAATCCAAGGTACCGCGCGCACTTGCCCCGAGAGAACACAAACTCACTCTCCTTTCTCCTCACTGTCCACCTTTGTCTCCCCCGATGTGTCCCTGGCGACCGAGAGGCTGAGACGTGTCTGTAGTTGGGCCAGGGCTCAAGGACTTTTCCTCCCCAGAGATTTGAACGTCCGGTAGAACCCGCGGCTAACCGGGCTGGACAACATCCCTGTGGACTCAGCCTCCGCGCGCGCGCGCGCCCGCGTGTACACACACACACACACACACCCATACACACACACACACACACACACACACACACACACACACACACCACCGTTCCTGTTGACCCCAGGTTCAGAGAGCGATTTCTCACTGGCTTGGCTGTGCTATGCTTTGAACCTACTTGTGTCCAAGACGAGGTGGGTATCAGGCGGCTCCTGAAGGCTGAGGCTGGAGACAGCTGAGGTATACAACTCTAGAAAAACCTAGGCACTGGGCAGCAAAGGGTGTCTGGCTCCCAAGGGTCTCAAAGTCCCTTTGCTTAACAGGGTTCATCCATAACTTCAGACAGCTCATTAAAAAAAAGAAAAAAAGACTCAGAAAAGAGAAATACTGTGTCTGAAAGTTGATGTTCCTCTTGTGGAAGTTAATTCTCTAAGAACTTGCACTTGCTCTTATGAAAGTTACACTAACACATATACACAAAACCAACCCCGCAGCACTTCTCCTGTCACTACTACAATTCCTCTAAAACTCTCGTGGGTGCCAGGCACATGTTTGAAAATCTTGGAAGAGGATCAAGTAAAATGTGGCTGCAAACAGCCCAGTGCCAAATGGCAACTCAGCTGGCAATGAAAACCTTAAGATGGAGTTTTGGAGTTACATGGATTCTCCTAAGTGCAGGGCCCCTGGCTATTTATACAGATTTCTTTGTGAATTCCGCAGGTCTTTTGGGAATGTGAAGCAGTCCTGTATATATATCAGACAAAAATGGGGTGGGGAGGAGATTGCCAGTTTAGAGGACAGGTCAGATGGGGCAAGGGAAAATGCCATCCTGTCTCCCTTCACACGTATCCCTAGAAGCTGTTGACAAAATTAGCAGGATCAAAATCTCAGCCTAAGCAGCTCTGGGGATTTGGTGGGGTGCTGGGCCCTGAACGTTTCCCAGACTTTCAAAGTTTACCATCAGTGATGGTAATCTAAGACAGAAAGCTTTGCATTTTATTTTATTTTATTTTTCTCTTAATTGCTGTCACCAGACCTGGGACATGTGTGTCGATTTTCGTAAACCTCGGTTGGAAATAAAGCCAAAAGCCCCTATCTTCCAGAATTATTGTGAGGAATCCATGAGATTCCCTCATGTCCATCCTGGTACAGTGTAAGGACTTCGTCGATGCTTAGCCCTTTCCTTCCCGAGATAAGGAGATGGTATTCATCTCACCTCAGGTGATTCACTCCAAAGCAGTCTCATAACACACACACACACACACACACACACACACACACACACACACACACAGACACACACACTACCTATCTCTCCTCCATCCAAAAGTTTCTGAGGGTTTCATCATTGTTGAGTTTTGCCCGTCAGTTCTCAAAATACTAGGGGTCAGTGGCCATTTCAAAGGCAATCTAGAATTCTGCAAATGACTGTAGCTACACTCAAGAATGAAATGTGTTAAACTTTTTGAATTGGGCCTGCAGTAGGTGTGTTCTGGAAAGGGCTTAGCATTTGGGCAAACAGCGGAATGTTTCAAACACACTGTATGGATTTGCTATTTATAGATGTCCTAATGTAAATTATTTGGCAAAGCAAAAACCTTATATGTAATGCCTGTAATTATCCACCAATTTCTCTGGCTGTGATTTTAGATTTGTACAAATCAGTTTTTCTCAAAGTCGTCTACACACCTGATGTGTGTTTATACATGCCTGAATTTGTTTTCATAACTTCAGTGTTCTTAATCAGTGGAGATGAGCTATGGCAGCCTGTGAACCCTAGGAAAGTGAATGCAAAATAGTGTCCTTGAATGTGAATTATTCTTGGCATAGTATTCCTGATATTCTCAAAACGATCCCTACCCTTTAAAAAAAGGTTGAACTACTGGTGTGGAGTATCAGGTGGCAAAGGAGCAGGATGGCAGGAAACAGGAGGAGAGGAAGGCTCTATTCATTCTATCTCAGAAAGGCCACATGTTAAAGCTCGCTGGCATTTCCAAGATTCTGCCACCCTGAACATGAGAGTCTGCTGAGGAAAACTTGAACAAGACAATACAAATCATTCCCTCTTACTCTCCTGTGAAGTGGTCTTGTTTGTAAAATACCTTGTGGGACAAACATAGTTTAAGGTCCCTCTAGCCATTAAATTTTCTCAAGGAAGACTTCTACAGTTACTTTATTTTTAAAAAACTATTTTTCCTCTTATTATAAGAGTAACAAATACTCTATAGATATTTGAAAAGTCCAGAACAAAAAATGATAAAAAGAAAAAAAATCACCCATTGGTTCACAATCCATAGATAACTACTGATAATGTTTTGATCTATATCTTACATCTTTTTCGTCTCTATTCACACAGTTGAGAGAGCAATAATGAGCATCTACTGAATGTTTACTATAAGTCAGTCACCATCTTAATCTTCACAATAGAATATGCTGTTAATATTTCTATTTTATGGATAAGGAAATAGAAACTGAGGAAGGTTAAGTGGCCTACCCAAGATCTCGTAGCTGGTTAGGTGAGAGAACAGGAAACCAGGCAGTGAGACTCTGGAGTCCATGCACTCAACCACTGTGCAACTGTCTCTGATGCTCTGCACTGTTTTACATCTTCTCTTTCCACCTGATGTCCTAAGTATTTTACATGCCACTAAATAGCATTTTCAGTATTGTTTGGATCTTCTCATCCTAAGAAATCTTTGAAAATAAATAGAAGCCAGGCTCGGTGGCTCAGCCTGTACTTTGGGAGGCTGAGGTGAGTGAATTGCCTGAGCCTGCGGGTTCGAGACTCACCTGGGCAACTTGGCGAGACCTCTTCTCCACAATAAATCAAAAATTAGCCGGGTGTGGTAGCGCGCACCTGTAGCTCCAGCTACTTGGAAGGCTGAGGAGGAAGGATCGCCGGAGCCCAGCAGGTCGAGGCTGCCATGGCCGGGAGCGGTCACTGCACTTCAGTCTGGGAGACAGAGTGAGACTCCAACTCAAAAAATAAAAATAAAAAGAAAAAAGAAAATAAATTGAACCATGTGATCATGTGAAATGATTAATGTTCAATTCTTATCCAGCTTTTTTCATTGCTTTCCCCAAAAGTATATTTCTGGAAGAAGTTAAATGTGATATCACAAAAATCATATGGAAAATGGGGCCACAACAGACCCTCTAGCCCAGAGGGTCCATTAAAAGAAAAGTGAAGATCCAATGCCCTGAACACATAAAATGTTTCTAGAAGTCCATTTCTTCACAGACTTTGAAATGCTAAACCCCAGAATATTAGAATTGCCAACATTAGAGAACAACTATACCAGGTTTGTGTTTTTTTTGAGCTGGAGTCTCACTCTGTCACCCAGACTGGAGTGCAATGGCCGCTCCCAGCCACTGCAGCCTCGACCTGCTGGGCTCCGGCAATCCTTCCGTCTCAGCCTTCCAGGTAGCTGGAACTACAGGCGCGCACTACCATACCTGGCTAATTTTTTTTTATTTATTGTAGAGATGAGGTCTCGCCAAGTTGCCCAGGCAGGTCTCGAACCCGCGGGCTCAGGCAATCTACTCATCTCAGCCTCCCAAAGCACGGGATTACAGTCTGAGCCAACGAACCCGGCTATACCAGGTATTTTTAAAATTACGGATTCTTTTTTATTGTGAAAATGTGTTTTATTTATGGAAATTTTCAATATACTCTCAAAAGTAGAGAAAACAGTATAGAGAACCATCATGGACCTATTCATCCAGCTTCACTAATTCTCAATTCAAGAACAGTATTGTTGTATATATTACCCCATAATCCCCACCACCTCCACTCCCTACACACACTGGATCATTTTAAAGAAAATTACAGAAATGAAATAATTTCACCTGTAAATGAACTATCAGTTTGCATCTCTAAAAGACAAGTGTTTTGTTGTTGTTGTTGCTTTCTTTTGTTTTTCTGCCAACCAGACTGTGATCCTGTTAGCACATATTCCAGATGTTCTTAATTAAGGGTCAAAATTTTCTTTGGAGAGCACTGAATGGTCTTTGAAAAATCTGTGAACAACTAGAACCAGCATTCAAAGCTGTGCATGTAGGTCCATGTGTGCATCATTTAGGGAAAGGATTCATAGCTTATATCAGATTCATAAAGGAGCTATATCCTTCGAGGGTTATTTTAACGTCCTTTTTCACTCTCTAAAGGAAATTGAGGCCTGGAGAATGGCAGTGACTTGCCTGAGATCACATAGTTACTGGCAATACTCTTACCAAAGAACCTTATCTTGGGCTTTGGATGTCACAGTACAATTTCCTCAGCGCAAGTTCATGTAAACATAAGTAAATAATGTAGTTTAATGTAATTGTGGATTTCCTCTTTTATGAAGTTAGTTGAGTTTTAAAAGTTTGAAAGCCACTAATATTCCTTACCCTTCAAACTTTCCACTATTTCAGAAAGATCTCATCCTAATTTATTTTCTAAGTGCTTGACAGAGACCATAGAATACAAAGAAAATCTCATGTTCCATTATCCCTTGTTTCAATGACTGTCTTTTCTCTTTGACTTCCTGACAACACAGAAAGCTTGCCAGGGTCTAGTGGGAAGGTTTGGTATAAATCCCTTTGTCATAACTTATATGACACAGGGTCACATTTTGATGATATAGAGGAATTATAGGCTTTGAGGTCAAATAGACAATATTAAAATCTCTTCTCGTCAGTTATCACCTCTGTGACCATAGGCAAGTTGAATATCTCCAAGCCCCAGCTTTTTCATCTCTAGAATGGGGATGTTAATATGCAATTGACATGGTTTTTTGTAAGGCCTAAGAACATATCAAA